TCTCGATCTCTTGATCTTGTGATCCACCCGCCTCGGCCTCCCAAAGTGCTGGAATTACAGGCGTGAGCTACCGTATCTAGCCCACATTTGCTCTTTTAAAACTGTCTTCTAGATCTTGTATCCATGCTTCATTTTTAAAATCTTTTTTTTCCCCTCATTGTGTATTTTCAAATAGTGTGTCTTCAAGCTCACTGTTTCTTCTGCTAGATCAGTTCTGGTATTTAGAAACTCTGATATATTCTTCAATTGCATTTTTCAACTCCAGAATTTCTGCTTGATTCTTATTTCAATTTCTTTGTTAAGTTTATGTGATAGAGTTCTGAATTTCTTCTCTGTGTTATTTTGAATTTGAATTTCCTCAAAACGGATATTTTGAATTCTCTATCTGGATGGTCACATATCTCCGTTTCTCCAGAACTGGTCCCTGGTGTCTTATTTAGTTCATTTGGTGACGTCATGTTTTCCTGGATGATTTTGATGCTTGTCGATGTTCATCAGTATCTGGACATTGAATAGTTAGTATTATTGCAGTCTTTGCATTCTGGGCTTGTTTGTATCTGTCCTTCTTGGGAGGGCTTTCGTGGTATTCAGAAGTACTTGGGTGCTGTGATCTAAGCTGTATCTGCATTATTGGAAACCACAAGCCCAGTAATGCTATAGTTCTTGTAGACTCATAGAGATACTACCTTGGTGATCTTGAGAAAGATCCAGAAGAATTCTCCAGATTACCAAGCAGAAACTGTTTCTCTCTCCCTGTCTCCTCCCCTCCCCTCCCTCATCCTTCTCCCCTCTCCTCCCCTTTCCTCCCCTCCCTCATCCTTCTCCCCTCCCCCCTCTCCCCCTCTCCCCTGTCATCCTCTCTCCCTCTCCCCCTCTCCCACTCCTGAGCTATCTGGCATTAGGGGTATGGTGATACAAGCACACATGGCCATTACCACTAGGACTGCACTGGGTCAGACTTGAAGCCAACACAGCCCTGGTTCTCACCCAAGGCCCACTGTAACCACTACCTGACTACTGCCTGTGTTGTTGGCTCAAGGCCTTAGGGCTCTGCAATCAGCAGGTGGTGAAACCAGCTAGGCCTGTGTCCTCTTCAGGGCAGCAAGTTCTCCTAGGCCCTAGGTGAGTCCACAGAAGCTGTACAGAAGCCAGAGACTGGAGTCAAAAACCTTAGGAGTCTACCTCAGGTATTCTATTCTACTGTGGCTGAGCTGGCCATCTAACCATGAGATGCAGTCCTTCCTGCTCTTCCCTCCACCTTCCACAGGCCCATGTGGAATACTGCCAGTCTACCGCTGATGTTCACTTAAAGCCCAAGAGCTCTTCAGTCACCTTGAAGTAAATGTTGCCAGGCCTTATTTCACCCTTCAAGGCACTGGGCTCCCCTCTGGCCCAGGGCATTGGGGCCCCTAAGATCCCACTTGATGTTTTTCCCCACTGTGGCTAAGCTGGTACCTAAGGCATAAGACAAAGTCCTCTTTATTTTTCCCTCTGCTTTTCCTAAGCAGAAGGAGTCTCTCACCATAGCCGCCATAGCTGGGAATGTGGTGGGTCTTGCCTGAAGTCAGCACATCTCAGAGTCTCACCCAAGGCCCACAGTATACTCCTTCGGGTCACTGCTGATTATTCATGGTGTGTGCATCAAACTGTCATCTGGGAGCTAGAGCCTAGAATGGGGGTCTCATGCCTCTGCTTAGTGCCCTATCCTACCGTGGATGACCTGATATCCAAGATGCAAGACAAAGTCCTCCTTACTCTTCCCTCTCTTTTCAAGCAGAAGGAAGGGGCCTCCTTTGGAGCCACAAGCTATGCTACCCAGGGTTGGGGAGGGGTGGAACAAGCACCCCCTTAGCTACTCCAGTTGGTGTCTCAGTACGTTGTACCCCCAAGTCCATTGGTTTTGAGCCCAGTTCAGCATCAGGACTTGAATTGCTTGTGGCCTAGACTGCCTTTCAAGTTTAGAGCCCGAGAGCACTTTAGTCCATGATGGTGAGGCTTACTGGAACTCAGATTCCAACCACTGAGATGAGAGATTCCCCATTTGCTATAGCTGGTCCAAATACTCCCTCTGTTAGCAGGAGTTCACTGTGTTTAGCCTAGTTTTCCTTCATGCTGTGACAGGGCATCCCTGAGTTCAAGGCGAAGTCTGATAATCTCTGCACTCTGTCTCTCTCAAGTGCACAGATTTCTCTGCACCATGCAGCTGCTGGGGGATAGGGAAGAGGTGGCATTGGTGATAAAGGCTGTCTTTCCTACCCTCTTCAGTTCCTCTTTCAACAATATGAAGTTAAAACCAGGTATTGTGAGTGCTCACCTGATTTTTGGTTCTTATGAGAGTCATTTTTTGTGTGTAAATAGTGGTTAAATTTGGTGTTCCTACGGTGGGGGAGGATGATGGGTGAGCCTTCTGTTCCATCATCTTGTTCCACTCCTGTGTCTGAGAGTCTTTCTTTTCCTTCACTTTTGAAGTATAATTTCATAAGGTGTAGAATTCTGGGTTAGTGGAGTTTTCTCTCAATATTTAAATAGTTTGCTTCAGTCTCTTCCTGTTTGTGTGGTTTCTGAGTGGAAGTGGAATGTAATTCTTATCTTTGTTCCTCTTTAAGGTATTTTTTTCCTCAGGCTTTTTTCAGAATTTTCTCTGTTTATTTTATTTTCTCTAGTTTGAAAATAAAATGCCTAGATGTCAGGGTTTTTTTTGTCATTTGTTCTGTTTGATGTTCTGAGCTTCCTGAACCTGTGATTTGATATAGATGACATTAATTTGGAGAAAAGTCTCAGTCATATTATTTGAAGTATTTCTTCTGTTCCATTATCTATTCTTCTCCTTCTGGTATTCCCATTACACATATGTTACACCTTTTGTAGTTGTCTCATAGTCCTTGGATATTCTGTTCTTTTTTTTGGTCTTTGTTCTCCTTCCTTTTCAGTTTGGGAGGTTTCTGTTTATATAACCTCAAGCTCAGATTTTTTTTCCCCTCAGCTTTGTTCAGTCTACTAATAAGCTCATCAAAGGTTTTCTCATTTCTGTTACAGTGTTTTTGATCACAAGCATTCCTTTTTGGTTCTTAGGATTTCTATCTCGCTGGTTACTTTGCTGATCTGCTCTTGCCTGCTGTCTACTTTATCCACTAGAGCCCTTTCAATAATTATCCTAATCATGATCAATTATCATAGTTATCTGAAATTCCCAGTCTGATAATTCCAACATTCCTGCTATGTCAAGTTCTAATGCTTGCTCTATCTCTTCAAATTGTATTTTCCGCCTTTTAGTGTGCCTTTTAATTTTTTCTTGAAAGGTGGACATGTGCCAGGTAAACAGAACTACTATAAATAGGCCTTTAGTAATGCGGTGGTGAATTGTGGGGAGAGGGGAAGCATCATTTTATTTCATTTATTTATTTATTTATTTAAGAGATGGTGTTTCACTCTGTCACCCAGGCTGGAGTGCAGTGGCATGATCATGGCTCACTACAGCCTTGACCTCCCCAGGCCCAAGTGATCCACACACCTCAGCCTCCAGAGTAGATGGAACTGCAGGCATGTGTAACCATACCTGGCTAATTTTTAAATTTTCTGTAGAAATAGGGTCTCACTATGTTGCCCAGCCTAGTCTTAAACTCCTGGATTCAAGCAATCCTCCTACCTTGGCCGCCAGAATGCTAGGATTACAGGTATGAGCCACTGTACCTGGTTTAGTCCTATAATTAGTCCTTCTTTAGTCCTATAATTAGGTGTTGGTCTTTTAGTCGGCTGTGAACTTCACAAGTGCTTCTCAGGTTTTTTTCTCCACCATTAGGTGGGACACGATGGCTAGAGTAGACTGTGAGTATTTCCCTTCTCCCAGATCAGTTAGGCTCTGGTATACCCCAGAAGGTCAGGCTGTGGTTAAGCAGTTTCTCTTGGGGGCAAGACTTTTAAAGAACAGAGTACTCTGGCATGTTTTAAAGTATTTTGTTTTCTCTGCCCTCTCCAAGATGCATAAAGAGATTTTGCTTCAATATTGACTGAATATCTAACCAAGCTCCTGGAGGCAAAACTCACAAAATTGTGGAGGCCCCTCTATGACAGGGTTCTCCTGAGTCTTAACTCAGACTTGTCCACACTGAGCCTCCAGTGCTTTGTCAGTTATGCTTCAGGTTTTCCTACTCTGACATTGGTTCCCATGGTGGTTTCCACTTTTGAATCTCTGCTTTAGTACGCTGTGACTCCCTATCTTTGCCTGCCTGTCTCTCTAATCTTTGTGGCAGCAGTTTTCCCTTTTTCTGCACCTCTCTTATAGGTCTGGGAAGAGTTAATGACTTTTCAATGTGTTCAGCTTTTTACTTGTTAGGACAGAGTGGCAACTTCCAAGCTCCTTACATGCACAACTAGAAACCAGAAGTTCTTTGTTAAATTAAAGAAGTTTGACAGAGGGGTCAAGATACCTGGGTCTACTCTTTTCCTCATCTTTAAAATGATGTGTCTATACAAGATAAGTAGTTTTTTAAACTGCATTCCTCAGAACCCTGGAAATTTCGTGGCATTGCCTCAAGGACTTCCAGGAATGTGAAGCTCCAAGCCTACACCCACTCCTTGTTCAACCACAGCAGCTCAACTTTTATCTTTAATCTTTTCCTGTATATTAGACTTTTATACAATTTTATTTGAAATAGGGTTCTAGTTTCCCCTCTTCAGAAAAAGCTTATAAATCACAGAGATCACCACCTGCTCTCAAGTATTATGACCCTACAATATAAAACCTTGTCAGTTGTTGAAATCTTTTGCTGAGAGTATATGAAGAAGTAGAAGAGAGAAAAAATATGAGGACAGTGGGAATGAGTAACTGTACCCTAGAGTGAAGAAGATTGTTGAAATGATAGATTTAAGTCCTGAGTAAAAAACTTAACAATTTTGCATTTTCTTAGCTCAATTCTCAGGCACAAATAGTGTCCCTTTTTAGTTAGGTTTTGTAGTAAAGATTTGGAACAGTTGGAAAATATTCTCTTCTTTATTTTTAGAATGAAAGAAATGGATCGACTTTTGACTTGCCTGAATAGAGGTAAATAGCTCCCTGGTTATATTCAGTCCTTCATCTTGCCTCTGTTCTCTATTGAATTCTCTGAGTACACTGAGCACACTGACTTTAACCTTATGTTTGAGTTAAGCTTCATGCTTCTTATTAATGTTTGCTACGGGAGTCTATTTTGGTTTCTTCATTCACAAGCAGAGAAAAGTGTGTCATCATTAGCATTCATCTCCAAATGTGATTTCAGCTCTGTTTTAATTCCTGTTTGTTTTAAGGACATCTCATTCCCTCCCGTCCTCCCGTCCTCTGGCTCTTTTTTCCTTCCCTTTGTCCTTCCCCTTCCCTCCCTCCTTCCCTTCTCTCCCTTCCTCCTTTCTCTCCCTCTTTGTCCCTCCACCTTTCTTTTCTAGTAGCCACTTGATCCTAATCTAAGAAGTGAACAGGTGAAAAAGGATCAAAACAAATAAAAATACCCTGAACCCTGCTGTTTTTCCATACCCTCTGAATCAAATTCAGATTGTATAGTCTCTTGTTTTGAAGCTATCCACCCAAGTCTGTACCATCTCCCTTATTTACTAATAATTTTTCCCTGTATCTCAAATGCCTGTCAACAGGGTGTTAAACATAGCAAAGTGGTTTAGAAACCAAACCACTTCTTTTCAAAAGAGAAAAACTTTGCTGGATGGCATTCTTATTTTTCAGAAGGACATGGGGTATGTAATAAATGCTTTCTGATAATGATAGCACGTTCTGGTTCTGTCCTGAGCTTGCTGGCTCAGTAAATATTATGCCAGCGTATTGATACTCTTCCAATTCTCAGTCTCTAGTTCAGTCTTTTAAACAATTGTTTCTATTCTTTATTTCCTCACATGTAAATCATATCTTTCCACCTCAGGTGGTGAATGATTGCACTAATTAAAATTATAAATCTCTCCAAAGACATGTTTGTTCCCCAGAGTTTGAATTAACAACTTCTTGGAACTTTGTAATGCTTTTTGTCATTTTAATTACTTTTGGTATGCACCCACACACATATACACAAAAAAGAACTTTCTAAATTCAAACTCCTGTGAGACTGTTCTTAAAGCAGGATTAAAGAACTTTGCTAGAGTATAAGATAAAACTCTCAGTATCAAATTTTCCTGTTTGATGCAGCCTTTGTGAAACTTTCTCAGCCTTATGGTGAAGAAGCCTTCAGTTTGGAGTCAAGAGCTAATGAAGCTCAGTGGTTTCGAAAAATGGGTAAGAGGAAATTTTATGGCTATGGGAAACATCATGGGTTAGTGGAATCAGACGGATGTAATTTCAAAATCTGGATCTTTCATTTTAACTGTGGGTACAGTAATAACTTGCTTAATCTGTTTTATTACTTATAAAATGGAAATAATTATATATATTTCATATAGTTATTAAGGGTTTTAAATGAAACAGCATATGTACTTGGTATCATAGTAGATTCTCAATGGACATCAGTTGTCTTCCTTTTCTTTAGGAATGAGTCTAAGATTAAACTAACTAATGAACAAACTATAAATACAGGTCCCCAAGGTTGTACTCCTAAACTTGGTTTTAAATACTTAATTTATTTCTAAATGTAATTGACCAAAAATAAACTATATACAACAATATGGATGAATCACATAACGTTGAGCAAAAGAAGCCAGACATTGAAGAATACATATTGCATTGTTCATTTTATTTATAATTTTAAAAACAGGAAAACTAATATATGGTGTTAGAAGTCAGTATAGTGGTTATCCTAGAAAAGGAGTTGGACTTGAAAGTTGTAGGAGCTTCAGGGTTTCTGGTGGTATTCAAGATCTTTCTTGATCTGGGTGCCATATGCATGAATATTTCCACTTTGTAAAAATTCAGTAAGCCGTACAATTATGAGTTGTGTAATATACTTTATAACGGCTCTATTTCAATAAAAATGATTTTAAAACTTGTGGAGGCGGCCAGGCACAGTGGTTCACACCTGTGATCCCATCACTTTGAGAGGCCGAGGCGGGCAGATCATGAGGTCAGGAGTTTGAGACCAGCCTGGCTAATATGGTGAAATCCCATCTCTACTAAAAATACAAAAATTAACCAGGCATGGTGGCGTGTACCTGTAGTCCCAGCTACTCAGGAGGCTGAGGCAGAAGAATTGCTTAAACCCGGGAGGCAGGGGTTGCAATGAGCTGAGATCATGCCACTGCACTCCAGCCTGGGTGACCGAATGAGACGCCGTCTCAAAAAAAAAAAAAAATGAGCAAAAAAAAACTTGTGGAGGCTGTTACTACAGTAACAAGTAAGCATGAGCAATTAAGCAGCAGTGCCACAAAGTGGACTGATTCTACATGAACATTTCCCTGCTTTATGAGGTTTAATAGGGCTTTAATCCTAGGAGAAAGGGAATGAATACAGAAATCTGACTTCTAAGAAATCTGACTTCTACGAAACAAATAATGAAAAATAACAAACATCTAAAATTTAGACAAGTTGGGTGACTTTACCCTTTTGAAGGTTTGAAAAAGTATGTTTTTTACTGCATTTTAATTTTGATTTTCCAAGAGGAAGATGATGCTGACTGTTACCTGATGAGGGCTTCTACTGCTCTTTGGAAGATATAAATCTTTCCAGTAATTTTGCTCAACTCTTGATTCTAGTGTACCTTGTTCTTTGCTGAATTTTTACTTTAACCGCTACGAGTTGGTGAGCTCTATCCATGTTTGTCTTCATTTTTAGATAGATTTGTGTCAACTAAGGGGTTTTTTTTTTTTTTTTTTTTTTTGAGACAGTCTTGCTGTCCAGACTGGAGTGCAGTAGTGCCATCATAGTTCATTGTAACCTCAAATTCCTGGTGTCAAGCGATCCTCCCACTTCAGTCTCCTGAGTAGCTGGAGCTATAGGTGTGTGCCACCACGCCTGGCTAGTTTTGTTTTGTTTCTTAATTTTTTTGTGTAGATAGAGTCTTGCTCTGTTGCCCAGGCTGGTCCTGAACTCCTGGCCTCAATTCTCCTGCTTTGGTCTCCCAAGGTTCTGGGATTATAGGAATGAGACACCGAGCCTGGCCTCAACTAAGAATTCTTATTGTATGTCCTCAATTTAAAAAAAATCACCAGTACCTGTCTTGGTCATTGGTCTAGTATTGAAGATTAGAATTGATAAAAGTCTCTAAATTTACCTGGAAAAAGTTTCTTTACAAACCTAAAGTTAATTTTTTAAACCTTAAGTAACCCCTTACTAGTATGTTAATATCAAAGGTATAAATAGCAGAAATTATAGTGGTACAGACTAAATGGTAGATTTTCATATTATTACATTATTTCATGTCAATTTCCAGCTTGGAACTTGGCTGTGCAATCTGACAAAGATCCAGTGGTAATGAGAGAATTTTTCATACTTTCTTATAAGGTAAGTTTCTTTTAATAAGTATCTCATGTATGGACCACAGCAAGGCTATAAGCACTATGGCTATAGTAAAGGGCTAAATATAGACTGGGATTGTCTCTTAATCTAGGAACTTTTAATATATATTTAAGCAGAAATGACCTAAGAATTTGTTTATATATAGAGAGGGGGTGTGTGTGTACATACACATATACACACACACACATATATATTTGTGTGTGTATATATATATATATATATATATATATATATATATATATACAAATTATGTTATATAGGGTATAACTTAAGAATATGGGGCATATTTGTCTATACCAAAATATCAGAAACACCCATCAGGGAGCCTAAAGTTCTACCATTTAAGACTTATTTCTTTGCCTTTGAAGAGATTTCAGCCTCCCAAAGTCCTATATTAAAATGTAAATATCTATAGGAAGGGAATACTCTTAAGTAGTTGTTAATTACCAACACATTATGAAGACTTATGGGAATAAGTCTATAAGAATATAGAATAAGTATCTGGGGACAGCAGAGGCTGAAAAAGGAGATAAGAAGCTTAAGCCTCCCTTATAACTTTCCTATAGCAGGTTCTGTGTGTAGTGATTTGTGAGTTTGTTATTTAATTCGAAGCATTTTTAAATAGTCATTGGCCTCCAAGGTAGAGGTTAAATGCCAGAAAGAGTACCAAGTATTGATAGGGGAATAAAAGAAGAAGGGCTAAAGAATAGTCTTCATACACATTGAGTACACAGTATGATACGTTGGGATCAATTAAATGTTAAGAATTTTAGAGCTAGAAAGAACTATAAAGATTATCTACCACAACTCGTTCATCTCACTTAAGAGTAATCTGAGACCTAAAGAGACTGAGTGTCTTAAAATGCTATTAATTTAATAACAATGATGATTATGATCACTGAATGTTTGGGGAGATTAAGAAACAATCTTTGCAAGTTTAGACATAACTGCCATTTTAATTAAGTGAAATAAATTGGTTTTAGTTTTGGTATTTGTGATGAGACTTGTAGGATTGGCATGTAAGAATCCAAATGGCCTAGAGTTTTATTGTAGCAGCTGGGAGTTTTTCCTAAAACTAGGCAATGTTAATGATGAGGTCATACCTAATGCCTGTCAAGATCTGGCAATGCCTCTTTCAACCATGACAATATATGTACTAATTTTGGCTCTATTCAATACAAAGGGGGAAATCTATTTGCCAGGGGAAAAAATCACTTAGAAATTGCAACATAAACCAAGAAGTAAATCACTAGATAGAAATACAAGGGCAAATGATACTACTTGTCACTGGAAAAGATAGGAAAACTGTGAAGAATTGAAGCTTTTTGTCTCTAGGAAGGTACTAAAAACAATGGAAAGAAATATAAAATTAAAAGCATAAATCAGCATTATAGCTTATATCATTTATGTGGTGACATGTGCTTTTCCAGCTGAATTTTCTCATTCAGACAGGAAGTTGCTGATTTTCATTCTGATTGTTTGTGTTCACCTGGCAGAATTCTCACTATTCATTGATGTTCTGCTTCCTTCTTATCAGATGTCCCAGTTTTGTCCTCCTGATAAAGTAATTCTGATTGCACGGAAAACATGTTTACTTATGGCAGTTGCAGTCGATCTAGAGCAAGGGAGAAAAGCTTCAACAACTTTTCAACAGGTAATGTGCAACCTTCAAAGAAAAGACAAGAATTCAGTGTGCTATTTGATATGTTTGCCTTCCCTGATGCAGTTCTTCTTGATTCTCTTTAGAGAATCCTTTTCTCCACTCCAGCAGCATCTTGATTTCAAAAGTTTGTAATGGCTAATTCCTTCCTAAGCAAAGGTTACTTTTGGTGTGGCCTCTTTTTTAAAGAAGATTAGCTATCTCCTCTTTTAAAATTCCCCTTCCTGAATTGCTTGAACCAGGGAGGTGGACGTTGCAGTAGGCTGAGATCATACCACTACACTCCAGCCTGGGTGACAGAGTGAGACTCCGCCTCAAAATAAAAATAAATAAGTTTTTTAAAATTCCCCTTCCTATGGACCACTCTTTCCAAAAACATTTTTAAATATTCTTTATCTTCATTGTCTGCCTGTGATTATATATGGATGTGGACCCATTTTTGTTTCTTTTCACATCTTCTAAGGAAGAACTCATCTATTTCCATAGCTTTGATAGCCATCTGAAATTATTATTTATCTTGTTTCTCTTCTTTCGATTGTATTTGCTTTCTTTGTCCCACATTCTTAAATATCTCATTAACTTAATTTCTACAAGAGAGAATTCCTTACATTTGCCTGAATTTCCCTATCAGGTTCTTAAATGTTACCCCTTCTAGAAGCTATCCAGGTCACAGTCTCTCAAACACCAGATTATTGATTTGCTTTTAGCTGTTTACCCTTCTTCTTTCAATCTAAGAAAATTGTCTCCAAATCATACCAGTAGCATTTTTGTATGATTTTTAAGATCTAGGTCTCTCTGCTTGGTTTATCTTACCTTGACAAAGAAAATTTCATTTCCCATACTTGTCAGCTTCTGTCCTCTCCAAGTGATATAAACCCCTTGCTGTTTATTTTCTTCCTCCTATTAATCTCTTCTTTCATATTGTTCTTTGGATCTGGAACAAACTCTCACCAGATCTCTGCTAACTATTTTGCTTCTTTTCCCTTCCATTGTTTAGTTCAGCTCAAAAAACATTTGAGCACCAGACACCTTTCTGGGTACTGGGGATACAGAGAAAAAGAAGCCAAAGCTCTTGTCTCTGAGGAGTAAAGGGGACCCTCTTTTAGGAAGTATTTTTATTTTAAAAGAAGGTGAGAAAAGACTCTACCTGCCCCAGAGCAAAACAAACAAACAAAAATTCTATTTAACAGGCAAAGGTAAATGTAATTTAATTCTCAATAGGGACTTTTGCTTTACTAAAAAATAATAATAACATTTTATTTTTATATAGTACTTTTTAATTTCTAAAAGTTTTTTATTTTTGCTTAGTAATCCTGAGTTTGTTTAATTTTTTATCTCAGTGAATGGAGATCAAATTGAAGTGAAAGAAATTTCACAAACTCTTAAGTACAGTCATTATTTTGTTTGTTTCTAACTACCGTTCTTTTTTATTCTGTGTTCTTTCCTATGTACACCTCTGTGTTTCCTAAGAAGTCTCTAAACTAGTAACCCTTCTGTAATCTTCTTTGCTTTTGAAAGGATGTCTGTTTAGATAATTGAAGATGCACTTCTGCCTTTTATCATCTAAGTGATGAATCAGACCGTGGTACTCTGTCTCTCTAAAGAATACTTGTTGATTTCTGTTGTATACATCTACTCCCTGTTCTCTAAACCCTCATAAATGGGAATATTTCCAAATAAGTAGCTGATCAAGGAATATAGATGTACTGCACAGTTTAATCAACATTGCCTCTACCCTTCTGAGTATGAATTAGGGGAAAGTGAGGGATAGGTAAAAACAGAGTGATTGTAATTTGTCAAGGAACCACATCTTTTTTCTAGAGCAGGAGTGGATAAACTATTGCCAACTGGCCAAATCAGGCCCCTGGCCTGATTTTATACAGCCTGAGAGCTAAGATTGGTTTTTACATTTGTCAAGGGTTGTAGTTGAAAATAAATAAAAATATGTAAAAGAGAGTGTATATGGCTAGAAAAGCCTAAAATATTTACTGTCTGGTCTTCTATACAAAAAGTATTGTTTTTTAACAGACTTACTGAGGCTTAATTCACATAACTTACAATTCACTCATTTACAATTTATTTGTTTTTAGAGTATTCTCAGAATTGTGCAACTATTGATACAATTTAATTTTAGAACATTTTTATCTCCCTCAAAAGAAACCCCTTACCAATTTGGCAGTCACTTCTCATAGCCTGCCACCAGCACTAAGCAACCATTTACTTTCTGTCTCTATAGATTTGCTTATTCTGGATATTTTATATAAATGTCACCATATAGTCTGTAGTCTTTTCTGACTAACTCCTTTTATAAATGCCTAAATAATGTTTTCAAGGTTCTTTGTGTTGTAGCATGTATCAGTATTTCATTTCTTTTTATGGCTGAATAATATTCCATTGTATAAATATATCACATTTTAAAAATCCATTCATCCATTGATGGACATTTGGGTTGTTTCCAGTTTTCAGCTATTATGAATAATGCTGTGATGAACATTGATATACACATTTTTGCATGGACATATGTTTTCATTTCTTTCAATATGAAATATACCTAGGAGTGGTATTGCTGGGTCATATGGTAACTCTATATGTCATCATTTGAGGAATGCTAGAGTTTTTCAAAGCATCTGTACCATTTTCCATTCCCACCACGAATGAGGATTCTAATTTCTCCACCTCCTTGCCACCACTTGTTATATCTTTTTAATTGTAGTCATCCTAGTGAGTATAAATTGATACCTCACTGTGGTTTTGATGTGAATTTCCATGATGACTAATGATGTTGAGAATCTTTTCATGTGCTTATTGGTCATTTGTATATCTTGTTTGGAAAATATCTATTGAAGTCTTTTTGAATTTATTTATTTAGAGACAGAGTCTTGCTCTGTCACCAAGGCTGGAGTTCAGTGGCACAATCTTGGCTCACTGCAGCCTCTGCCTCCCAGATTCAAGCGATTCTCCTGCCTCTGTCTGCCAAGTAGCTGGGACTACAGGCACATGCCACTGTGCCCAGATAATTTTTGTATTTTTGTAGAGACTGTGTTTTGCCATGTTGGCCAGGTTGGTCTCCAACTCCTGACCTCAAGTGATCTGCCCACCTTGGCCTCCCACCTCCCCACCCCCATCCCTCCTCCATGCTCATTTTTAATCAGCCTATTTGTCTTTTTGTCATTGAGTTGTAATTCTTTATATATGTTTTATACTATACTCTTATCAAACACATGATTTGCAATTATTTTCTCCTATTCTGTGGTTTGTCTTTTGCATTTCTTGCTAGTGCCTTTTGAAATACATTTTTAATTTTGATGATATTCATTTTATTTTGTTACATCTAAGACCATTTCCTAATCCAAAGTCATGAAGGTTTACTTCAGTGTTTTGTTCTAAGAGTTTTATATTTTCAGCTTTTACGTGTAGGTCTCTAATGAGTTAATTTTTGTGTATGGTGTGAGATAGGGGTCCAACTTTATTGTTTTGGATTTGACTGTTCATTTGTCCCAGTACGATTTGTTGAAGTTGGTTTTTTTTTTTTTTTTTTTTTTTCCCCACTGAATTATCTTGGCACCATTGTTGGAAATCACTTGACCATAAATGAGAAGGTTGATTGTCAATTCTGTTCCATTGACATCTGTGTCTATCCTTAGGGCAATACCACATTGCTTTGATAATTATGTAGTAAGCTTTATGTAGTAAGTTTTGAAATTTTGAAATACAAAGGTGTTAGCCCTCCCTCTTTGTTCTTTTTAAAGGTTGTTTTGGCTATTCTAGGTCCCTGGAATTTCCATTAAGACCAACTTGTTGATTTCTGCAAAAAAGCCAGCTGTGATTTTGATAGGGGTTGCATTGAAACTGTAGATCAGTTTATGGAGAATATTAAAGCCTCTGATTCATTAACATGGGATATCTTTCCATTTATTTAGGTCTTTAACTTCTTTCAACAATGTTTTGTAGTTTTCAGATTATAAATTTCACACTACTTTTTGTAGTCTATTCAGATTTTGTGTTTCCTCTTGAGTCGATTTTAGTAGTTTTTCTTTCTAGAAATTTATCCATGACATCTAAGTGATCTAATTTGTTGGTTTACAGTTGTTCATAGTATTCCCTTATAATCCTCTTTATTTTTGTAAGATCAGCAGTGATACCTCCTAATTTTAGTTATTTGTGTCTTCTCTCTTTTTGTTCTTAGTCAGTATAGACAGATGTTTACCAATTTTGTTGTTCTTTTCAAGAACTGACTTTTGGTTTTATTTTTTTCTATTGCATTTCTAGTCTCTGTTCCATTAATTCCCAATCAAATATTCCTTCTGTTTGCTTAAGGTTCAATTTGCTATCAGTTTTACAGTTTCTTAAGGTAAAACTTGGGGTTACTTTGAGATATTCCTTTTTTAAAAAACTTTTTTTAATTTTTATTTTATTATTATTATTATTATTTTTATTATTCACATCAATCACTTTAGTTTGGGGTAGAGATAAAACACTGCCATATTCCAGCGTTGGGGCAGGAGCTCCCAGTTACAGTCCATAAATATAAACTTTTGCAGCTACAAATTTCCCTTTAAGAACTGCATCCCATAAATTTTGGTATGTTGTATTTTTTTTTCATTCATCTCAAAATGTTTTCTAATTTTCATTGTGTTTTCTTATTTGACTCATTTATTTAGGAATCTGTTGTTTAATTTTTACATATTTGTGAATTTCCCAAATTTTTTTCTCTTGCTGATTTTTAATTTTATTCCACTGTGGTCACAGTACATACTTTGTGACTTCAATTATTTTACATTTATTTGAAGTTTGTGTTATGGCCTACCATGTGAGCTATCCTGGAGAAAGTGCGATGCATGTGTGCTTGAGAAGAAAGTACATTCTACATGGGTTAGTGATACATTTTATGGCTATTAGGTCTAATAGGTTGATAGTGTTGGTCAAGTGTTCTATATCCTTGATGGTTTCCTGCCTACTTATTCTATTGATTACTTAAAGTGAGCTATTGATGT